AGCTGGGAGTATGGTCAATGTTAAGAGCTGGGAGTATGGTCAATGTTAAGAGCTGGGAGTATGGTCAATGTTAAGAGTTGGGAGTATGGTCAATGTTATGAGCTGGGAGTACGACACAGTTCAGCTGGGTGTATGGTCAATGTTATGAGCTGGGAGTATGGTCAATGTTAAGAGCTGGGAGTATGGTCAATGTTAAGAGTTGGGAGTATGGTCAATGTTAAGAGCTCGGTGTTTTGTCAATGTTCAGAGCTGGGAGTACGACACAGTTCAGCTGGGAGTATGGTCACTGTAAGAGCTGGGAGTATGGTCACTGTAAGAGCTGGGAGTATGGTCAATGTTAAGAGCTGGGAGTATGGTCACTGTAAGAGCTGGGAGTATGGTCACTGTAAGAGATGGGACAATGGTCACTGTAAGAGCTGGGAGTATGGTCAATGTTATGAGCTGGGAGTTTTGTCAATGTTATGAGCTGGGAGTATGGTCACTTTAAGAGCTGGGAGTATGGTCAATGTTATGAGCTGGGAGTATGGTCACTGTAAGAGCTGGGAGTATGGTCAATGTTAAGAGCTGGGAGCATGGTCAATGTTATGAGCTGGGAGTTTTGTCAATGTTTTGAGCTGGGAGTATGGTCACTTTAAGAGCTGGGAGTATGGTCAATGTTATGAGCTGGGAGTATGGTCACTGTAAGAGCTGGGAGTATGGTCAATGTTAAGAGCTGGGAGCATGGTCAATGTTATGAGCTGGGAGTTTTGTCAATGTTTTGAGCTGGGAGTATGGTCACTTTAAGAGCTGGGAGTATGGTCAATGTTATGAGCTGGGAGTATGGTCAATGTTATGAGTTGGGAGTATGGGCAATGTTATGAGCTTCGGAGTATGGTCAATGTTAAGAGCTGCGAGTATGGTCAATGTTAAGAGCTGGGAGTATGGTCAATGTTAAGAGCTGGGAGTATGGTCAATGTTAAGAGCTGGGAGTATCATCAATGTTAAGAGCTGGGAGTATGGTCAATGTTAAGAGCTGGGAGTATGGTCAATGTTAAGAGTTGGGAGTATGGTCAATGTTATGAGCTGGGAGTACGACACAGTTCAGCTGGGTGTATTGTCAATGTTATGAGCTGGGAGTATGGTCAATGTTATGAGCTGGGAGTATGGTCAATGTTAAGAGTTGGGAGTATGGTCAATGTTAAGAGCTCGGTGTTTTGTCAATGTTATGAGCTGGGAGTACGACACAGTTCAGCTGGGAGTATGGTCACTGTAAGAGCTGGGAGTATGGTCAATGTTAAGAGCTGGGAGTATGGTCACTGTAAGAGCTGGGAGTATGGTCACTGTAAGAGCTGGGAGTATGGTCACTGTAAGAGATGGGAGTATGGTCACTGTAAGAGCTGGGAGTATGGTCAATGTTATGAGCTGGGAGTTTTGTCAATGTTATGAGCTGGGAGTATGGTCACTTTAAGAGCTGGGAGTATGGTCAATGTTATGAGCTGGGAGTATGGTCACTGTTAAGAGCTGGGAGCATGGTCAATGTTAAGAGCTGGGAGTATGGTCAATGTTTTGAGCTGGGAGTATGGTCACTTTAAGAGCTGGGAGTATGGTCAATGTTATGAGCTGGGAGTATGGTCAATGTTATGAGTTGGGAGTATGGGCAATGTTATGAGCTGGGAGTATGGTCAATGTTAAGAGCTGCGAGTATGGTCAATGTTAAGAGCTGGGAGTATGGTCAATGTTAAGAGCTGGGAGTATGGTCAATGTTAAGAGCTGGGAGTATCATCAATGTTAAGAGCTGGGAGTATGGTCAATGTTATGAGCTGGGAGTAAGGTCAATGTTAAGAGCTGGGAGTATGGTCAATAATAAGAGTTGGGAGTATGGTCAATGTTATGAGCTGGGAGTACGACACAGTTCAGCTGGGAGTATGGTCAATGTTAAGAGCTGGGAGTATGGTCAATGTTCAGAGCTGGGAGTATGGTCAATGTTTAGAGCTGGGAGTATGGTCAATGTAAAGAGCTGGGAGTATGGTCAATGTTAAGAGCTGGGAGTATGGTCAATGTTAAGAGCTGGGAGTATGGTCAATGTTAAGAGCTGGGAGTATGGTCAATGTTTAGAGCTGGGAGTATGGTCAATGTAAAGAGCTGGGAGTATGGTCAATGTTAAGAGCTTGGAGTGTGGTCAATGTTAAGAGCTGGGAGTATGGTCACTGTAAGAGCTGGGAGTACGACACAGTTCAGCTGGGAGTGTGGTCAATGTTAAGAGCTGGGAGTATGGTCAGTGTTAAGAGCTGGGAGTATGGTCAATGTTAAGAGCTGGGAGTATGGTCAATGTAAAGAGCTGGGAGTATGGTCAATGTTATGAGCTGGGAGTATGGTCAATGTCAAGAGCTGGGGGTATGGTCAATGTTTAGAGCTGGGAGTATGGTCAATGTTAAGAGCTGGGAGTATGGTCAATGTTAAGAGCTGGGAGTATGTCAATGTTATGAGCTGAGAGTATGGCCAATGCTATGAGCTCAAATTTCAAACAAACGTCTTTCATATCAAACTTCACGTCAGTACCTCCGTCTCCTACTGGCCACACAATGGCTTCCAATACAGCAGGCAAAACGAGGCTCGATCCTACATTTAAGTATCAACCGTGGCTTCATGCGAAATTTAAACTTAAAAGGTCCAGCAGTTTCTGAGAAGATGTTGACAGAGGTTCGAGTGACGATGTCCTTTACGCGAACACTCACTAACCCTAGCGACCTGTGTAGATCCGGGGTAGAATAGGTCTTCAGCAACCTATGCTTGCCGTAAAAGACGACAAAGCTTGTTACAGTTACAGATGCTGGATGAACGCGTGACCTGGGATGTACATGGCAAGTACACCTGACTGCGTGTTCGACTCTCATGGACTTAACCACTGGTGTGCCTCATCCAGAGTCCAGCGTCCAGGTCACGGTGATGACGGAGGCTGAGGCGGGAGATGTACTTATTTACTCACTTCCTTAACTACTGCGATACAACTAGAAACGTACAAGATCCCCACAAGCCCATGGATGGGTCAGGACCTTTGAAGCGGTCGTAAAAGCACCGTTACTGCACTGCGCTGCGCTCCCTCAATGCACGTCGAAGGAAACTGCTTATTTCTAAACTACCATATATATTGTGTTATCTTTATTATGACATTATTTATAATCAGTTTCTTTCCCGAACAAGGGCGTTAAGAGTTAAGCAGGGTGTTTGAATACCGGCGAATATGGCTTATCTGAATATAGCATGACAAGAAACGGGCATTCCACTGCTGATTTATGCAGCTTGTTTGCTAATCACGGAGTGTACCCTGCCATTGGCGATATATTTCATCTTTGGGCGTGCACAGTTTTGCGAGTCTCTCTGTTTTATAGTTTATCATTTTTCTATAACCTTCGCATAATCAGCGTCTACTCCTGTGTTCCTTCGCACAATCGGCGTCTACTCGTGTGCATTTGGCAAGGAACGCTCCAATCCAAAAGTCGGAAAGTTATGGATGTTGACATCTTTCTGCATGCTTATTTCTTCATAAGTGAAGATCAGGTGTAGAATAGGTCTTCAGCAACCCATGCTTGCCGTCAAAGGCGACTATGCTTGTCGTAAGAGGCGACTAACGGGATCGGGTGGTCAGACTCGCTGACTTGGTTGAAGCATGTCATCGTATCCCAATTGCGTGGATCGATGCTTATGATGTCAATTACTCGATTGTCTGGTTCAAACTCGGATAATTTACAGACCGCCGTCATATAGCTGGAATATTGCTGAGTGCGGCGTTAAACAACAAACAAACAGAACATCTTATTTATCTACATCTATTTATTTCAGGAGTATCCGGATCCTCTTTCATCACGACGGTCGATTATGGGCTGACGACATTGGCCACAAACACCACCAACACTGCCGACTGTGTGTGTGACTGCAGCGCGTTTGTCGCCATGTTTAACCTGACCCATGAACAGCTTGAGATCGAGATTAAACGAATATACAGCAGACTCTTACTCAATAAAGAAAACATTTCCGCTACAGTCCGGAAGCGACGTCGAACAACAAACAAACAATAAACAAACAAACAAACCTTCATAAGGTGAACGCTAGGATGCAGAGAGCATATATATGTACCTGTAAGTCAACAAAAGTAATAAGATAACAAAATGTGGAAACTTAACAAGGGAAGACAACAGTAAACTGGCGCTGATCAGGAACTAAATTCTCACTGATTGGTATTAAGCAACGGACAAACGGTAGGCAGGGGCATTCAGCACTGATTGGTAATTGGCAGTGGACAATTGGAAGCCATCTGTTAATAACTTGTGTTTCACATAACAAAGAAGTTGACTTTGTGCATAAATGTATCTCTTATGTGTATAACTTCCAAATAACATTCAAAGACCAGGTGAGGTGAGGTGAAAGGGGGTTTAACGTCGCGTCCAAGATTATTGCACTTATATAGCGCCGTGCATGTACGTGTGTGTGTTTGTGTGGCTGCTTGTACTAGTCCGGACTGATGCCGATTTATAGTGCTAGCTCACTGAGATACCATGCCGCAGTTTAACATGAATATCCCACTCAGACACAGTATACTACCCTTAATGCCGAGCGCCAGACAAGGTAACAACACGTACCATCTTTTAACGTCTTTTGGTATGACGCGGCCGGGGATCGAACCCTGGACCTTCCGCTCTCCGGGCGGACGCTCTACCACAAGACCACGGAGGCGGTCCATTCAAAGGCTAAAAAGGGTCTTGCTTAGTACAAACTGTCAGCAACAAATGCATTGAGTCCTCCACTCACGACCAGCAGACAAAGTTCTCCACTCACGGCCAGTAGACAATGTCCTCTACTGATGACTAGCAGACAATGTCCTCTACTCATGACTAGCAGACAATGTCCTCTACTCTCAGCCAGCAGACAAGGTCCTCTTCTCTCAGCCAGCAGACAATGTCCTCTACTCACGGCCAGCAGACTCAGTCCTCTACTCATGGTGAGCAGACAATGTCCTCTACTCAATGCCAGCAGACAATGTCCTCTACTCAATGCCAGCAGACAATGTCCTCTACTCACGGCCAGCAGACAATGTCCTCTACTCGTGGCCAGCAGACAATGTCCTCTACTCACGGCCAGCAGACAAGGTCCTCTACTCACGGCCAGCAGACAATGTCCTCTACTCACGGCCAGTAGACAATGTCCTCTACACACGGCCAGTAGACAATGTCCTCTACTCCCAGCCAGCAGACAATGTCCTCTACTCACGGCCAGTAGACAATGTCCTCTACTCACGGCCAGCAGACAATGTCCTCTACTCATGGCCAGCAGACAATGTCCTCTACTCACGGCCAGCAGACAATGTCCTCTACTCACGGCCAGCAGACAATGTCCTCTACTCACGGCCAGTAGACAATGTCCTCTACTCACGGACAGCAGACAATGTCCTCTACTCGTGGCCAGCAGACAATGTCCTCTACTCCCAGCCAGCAGACAATGTCCTCTACTCACGGCCAGCAGACAATGTCCTCTACTCACGGCCAGTAGACAATGTCCTCTACTCACGGACAGCAGACAATGTCCTCTACTCGTGGCTAGCAGACAAGGTCCTCTACTCACGGCCAACAGACAATGTCCTCTACTCACGGCCAGCAGACAATGTCCTCTACTCACGGCCAGCAGACAATGTCCTCTACTCACGGCCAGTAGACAATGTCCTCTACTCCCAGCCAGCAGACAAGGTCCTCTCCAATGGCACAAGTCTCATCTTCCTATACACAAATACAGCTGAACACTAGCTTCATGATAGTGACCTGCCTCATGAAATGGCATCATCCTTGTGTTAAAACTCAAGAAGTACAAAACACATACAGTGTAACCCATACATATGTCTGCTGAAACGGATGGACTTGCGTCGCACTACCTGCACATAACGCTGTTCACCTGGCAGACTAGTGGTGCCTGTGGCCTGACTACCATCAGACAATTTGCTGCTGGCGAATGGTTGGGGATGAGGTGAAATGGGGTTTAACGTCGCGTCCAAGATTATTGCACTTACATAGCGACGTGCATGCACGTGTGTGTGTGGCAGCGTGTACCAGTCCGGACTAATGCCGATTTCATAGAGCTAGCCCACTGAAATACCACGCCACAGTTTAACACGAATACACCATTCAGACACAATATACTGACTCCGAGCCGACCAGTTCTTGTTTTAGCCCCTTAATGCCGCGCGTCAGACAGTGTAAAAACAAGTACCATCGTTTAACGTCTTTTGGTATGACGCGACCGGGGATCAAACCTTTCGCACTCCGGGGCGGACGCTTTACTACTGGACCACGGAGGCGATCTACGAATGTTTGGAGGGGTTTTATGGCATTGTCAGGGTTTTGTTCCCCCTGCGTCCGGTGTGTTCACCTGTGTAGGTTGAACATAATCGACACGCGCCATGGCAGACTGCGTTAATTCATTTGTCGCCGATGAACATTGGGAAACCATTTCACCTTCATTCTGCAACATGTACTCATTCGTGACGATATTCCAGAGAGAAAAATAATTTGTTATGGGCTTACAAGCTTGATGAAACGCTTAGAATGTTAACACAGAATATTAACACAGAATATCAACGGTGGAAAGCCTCCAGCATCTGTCGGAATCTCTTGGACTGGTTACAGCGAATGGCGAGCAGTTCTGAAGTGTCCGTAATTCCACGCATAACGAGTCCAGTGCCTGTCCATTACTGACTTGAAACCCCGTGTTTCCTGTGCTCCCCCTCTCCCTTGGGATCTCCACCCAGCGTCCGGCAGACAGATGTTCCGGACAATCAGCTCCAGATACGTCTGACCATTCCCGACATGACACTTGCCGCCCTGACCGGCAACACGTCACGGAGGAATGACCACGCGGCGTTGTAGTAGTAGCAGCAGCAGCAGTGGTGGTGGTGGCAGGAAGTAGTGGTAGGGTAGTAGTAGTAGCAGCAGTAGTAGTAGTAGTAGTAGTAGTAGTAGTAGTAGTAGTAGTTGTAGTAGTAGTTGTAGTTGATGTAGTAGTAGTAGTGGTTGTAGTTGTTGTAGTAGTAGTAGTAGTAGTAGTAGCAGCACCAGCAGTAGAAATGGTAGGAGTAGTAGTTGTAGTAGTAGTAGTGGTAGTTGTAACAGTAGTAGTAGTGGTGGTGGTAGTAGTAGTAGTAGTAGTAGTAGAAGTGGTGGTAGTATTGGTAGTAGAAGTAGTAGTAGTAGTACCAGTAGTAGTAGTAGTAGTAGTAGAAGTGGTGGTAGTATTGGTAGTAGAAGTAGTAGTAGTAGTACCAGTAGTAGTAGTAGTAGTAGTAGTAGTAGTAGTAGTAGTAGTAGTAGTAGCAGCAGCAGTGGTAGAAGAGGTGGTAGTTTGGTAGTAGAAGTGGTGGTAGTAGTGATAGTAGAAGTAGTAGTATACAGTATGACCCCCAGCGATCTTTCGTCCACAAGGGCACAAAATAAGGGACCCCGAGTCTCGAGTAGAATGTTTTATGTATTTACCATTGTAAGTATGAGATGTGTTTACCATTCTATGTATGAGGAGATTTGTTTCCATTCTCTGTATGAGGAGATGTGTTTTACATTGTATGAAGAGAGATGATGTATGAAATGTCCGCCCAACAGGGAAATTGTGGTGATGTCGCAATGTCATCTGTTTGTGACGTCATGAACAATATATCACCTCATATTATTTTTTTTTCAATACGTGACGTCATATCACTTCAACCGACCAATCAGCATTGGGAATTGCTGAAATGGCATGAGCAAATGTCGCAAAACAAAATGCATTTTTCTTTGGATTTTTGTTTAACGCCGCACTCAGCAATATTCCTGATATATGACAGCAGCCTGTCAATATTCAAAGATTGACATCACAAGCATCGATCCACGGTATTGGAATGCGGTGATTTGCAATCAACCAAGTCGCCGAGCCTCGCCACCCGATCGGGGGATTTAGTCGCTTGTGGCGACAAGCGTGGGATGTCATGGGATCCTATATTCTCACCCGGATTCCCCACGGGTCTGCTATATAATCTCTACAGCACATACTACCAGGAATCGCGGAAGGCCGGGGGTTCGATTCCAGGTCGCGTCATACCAAAAGACGTTAAAAGATGGTACTTGTTGTTACTCTGCCTGTCGTTGGGCATTGTGGGGCTAAAACAAGGACTGGGAGTCAGTATACTGTGTCTGAGTGGGGTATCCATGTTCAACAGAGGAATGGTCTCTCTCTCTCTCTCTCTCTCTCTCTCTCTCTCTCTCACACACACACACACACACACACGAACGCACGCACATACACACATGCACGCGCGCGCGCGCACACACACGCGCACACACACACACACACACACACACACACACACACACACACACACACACACACACACACACACACGTGCATGCAAGTGCAATAATCTTGAACGCGACGTTAACCCGTTGGATGCCGATTTTTTTTCTGACGCACATTTTCCTAAGATCTGAAAAGTGAAGGAATAAGGAAACAGGTATAAGGAAGGCCCTTTGTTAAATTCCCCATCGCTAATGGCCAACATCAGGTCAATATCGACTAACGAATATATAATTACTGGGTCCTGTCAAGCGTGTCTGCAAAATCTATCGGCGGTGTTTTCTGGACAAAGGAATTATAGACCGATTAGTGTTTCTTGCAAGTAAAATGTGTTTTACTAATACTATTCTTATGAGAAAGCCCAGACTAATTGATGTCATTAGCAGCGATATCGGTCACTCTACGTCAGGACAAAAGGTTGGGTGGATGCAAGCTTTCAATTTTTCAGTGAACACATTTAATTTTTCTCAATAGTTCGGACATAGCTATAAACCTGTGAGTGACAGTTTCGCGTCTATCAATTCTCCGAGCTCTGAGGAGCTGGGCCGACCACGTGACCACGCTGGGTGCATTGAGTGATCGATTGCTGTTGTTTTGTGCAATACTGATGTTCGCGTAAAGTGTTCTTTCATCCGATATTCACTACAATGAGTGTGTCAATGTTGGTTTAAGATGTATTGACAGTATTACAGCTCTTTCACGACGGTGTGTAATTAACCGAAAATTGATTTGGCAAACAAGTGGTCGAGAGCATGAACCAGCGAACCGTCTTGGTGCCTCCCGGCATTACGGGCATTACGGTGATGTTTTCAACGCATCATTCGAACATACAGTACACGGCGCAACATAGCGGTCCTGCTTACTGAAAGTAAAACGTTGACTGACTAAGAATCTGTACACACACTCACACACTCACACACACACACACACAAAGCACACACACACACAAAGCACACACACACACACAAAGCACACACACAAAAGCACACATAAACACACGAACGCACGCACACAAACACACACACACGCGAACGCACGCACATATAAACACACACACATGGCGCACGCACACATAAACACACACACACACACACACGAACGCACACATAAACATACACGAACACAAACGAACGAACGCACGCACACATGAACACAAACTCATACACACACACGCACACATAAACTCTGTCACACACACATACACATACACATGCACACACACACACGCACGCATAAACACAAAACACACCAAGAGACACACGCCCTTCCAGTACACTGTTGTTTTATTATTAACTGCGTAACGGTGCATGGAGGTATTCTGGATTGGACTCGATACATAAGGCCAGCGAGAAATCATATTAATTGGAAATAAACATCCCTTCGAAAGGAAAATTACTCCTAGTTTAAGAAAAACTTGTGTGTGAATGGTATTCGACATGGGTTGTTACCGAGCCAGCATGATCGTGAGAGCAATAGGTCTTCAAACGGGGTTTTTCGGTTTACTGGGTAAAAGTCATACGTCATTGTTAAATCTGCAGGTGATGAAGCAAGGCGGGTCATTTATCATTTGTTCGTTAGTTGGACAAAAGAGCATCAATTGAAAAACCATCAGTCAAGTGAGACACAGACTTAGTAGGCGTGGCGGAGAGATGGGGGGTGGAAGATCAGATGAACATGTCATTGATCTTAATATCTTACACCAGGATACACCACTTCCAACAGACCATCTACGGTCGCGTGCCTGACACAGGCCGTGACAACGTGTACACTTGTTCCTCTGTACAGTTTCATGGTGCACAGAAATATAGACATCATTTTAGGATCTTAGATTTTACGGTATTTAGCTAGGAACATACGCAGATCCAACCTTGGCTATGAATGGACAGGGAAGAGTAGGGTTTACATGCCAAGGTTCACGTTGAGGAAAAAACAAATCAGAGCCATGCATGGGACTCATTCGGATCAATGGATGTTGTATCCGAATCTGCCAAAAGAAATACAAGTGAATGTCTCGTCGACATTACGCTGAGATGTTCTAGCATGGCGGGGGTTATCTCTCGTGAAGAACATTATTTTATTTAAAACAAGTTACCTCTAGTTTCCCGTTCTCGGTCTTGACATGCATTAGTTCCTTGGGTTAAACCTCACGCACAACTCAATTATTGGATTTCCCATTAGTGAGTGAGTGAGTATGGTTTTACGCCGCTTTTAGCAATATTCCAGCAACATCACGGCGGGGGACACCAGAAATGGGCTTCACACATTGTACCCATGTCGGGAATCGAACCCGGATCTTCGGCGTGACGAGCGAACGCTTTAACCACCAGGCTACCCGACCGCCCCGATTTCCCATTAGGCTTTGGCGGTGTTAATAATAACATTGGTTACAATAAAATGATGATTGTGTTGGTGGCACTGATATTGATGATGA